AACCACAAAAATCCGCAATACATCATAAAACACAAAGCAGAACACCGGACATTGAAAGAATTCAGGCCTCCTCCTTCATATTATAGGAACCACATAGGTCAATACAATATTTTGAGTAATAATTACATAACAAAACTAAACATTACATTAAATGCAAATTCCCCACAGAAATAAAATAAATAAATAAGTAAATAAAAAAATAAGATTTAATGCATATTTAGCGTGCTGTCCGGAGGGAGGGCTCCGAGCTCGGAATTCAGCCCGAACCCAGAGTACTCCCCCCAATAGGCAAGAAGCAGAGGACAGCCGCCGGACTAAAGACCCCCAAATGAGTGCCGAGATTGGCGGGCTGGCATCTTGAGAAGGGGCCTGGATGCTTGATCGGGGAGGTCTGTGATGGTGGCTCGCTGCCTGGACTGACAGCCCCTGTCTGTGAATGGTGAGAGGTTGTAGTGTACTTGTCCAGAAGGTTTTCACACTGCATCCGCTGAGAGACCAAATGCTCTGAAATGAAAGGGAGAACGTGAGTGCTCTACCGGGAATGTTCTCGCTCCATCCGCTGTGAGACCAATGCTCGCTGGACGGAAAGAGAAAACTGAAGAGAGGAAAATGAGTGCTTACACATGAGATTTTCTCATACTGCATCCGCTGTGAGACCAAATGCTCGCTGGATGAAAAGAGAAAATGTAAGTGCTCTACTGGGAAAGCTCTCACTCCATCCGCTGTGAGACCAATGCTCGCTGGACGGAAAGAGGAAACTGAAAAGAGGAAAGAATGAGTGCATGCCCAGGAGATTTTGTCACACTGCATCCGCTGTGAGGCCAGATGCTCGCTGGATGGAAGAGAAAATGTAAGTGCTCTACTGGGAAAGCTCTCACTCCGTTCGTTGTGAGACCAATGCTTTTCTCCTTACCCAATGAGGGCTTGGTGGGCTTTTTTAATGTGGAACCGGTTGGTCCTGATACAACTTTGGAAAGCATCAAAGGACCATCTCCCAAGGGCTTGGATCTGCTGTTGGGAAAGGCTGCTGAAGTTGCTGCCCCGATGCGAAATGAGTGACTTGAAAAATTCTTTGCTGGAATGCCTGACTGTTGGAGAACAGATTTAAGGTGTTTCTGGAACCAAAAACGTGTCACAGGTTTTTTTTTTTTTGTTTTTTTTTGATTCGTCTAAAAACATGGGTTCCAGAGGAGATTTAGCCTGGGAACTTATCCATTGCAAATATGCCAGAATTGACTGGTATGGTTGGATTTGCGAAGCGAGGTTGAAAATGTAAATGAAATTACCTTTTTTGGTTTGGCCAGTCTTACTTTGTTTAATCAAGTATGAAATGGTTTCGCCATCAATTACTGATAAGACTGAGATGGTGGGGTGGATTTTTGGGTCGAATTTAGAAGTGATGGCGACTTCTGAACATCTAAGAAAACCAAAAAAGGCTAAGATGAACATGGCATCGAGTGTGCGAGCGGAACTAAGGGGCTGGTAACCTGAGCGGAGAGCCTGAATACATTTGGTGAGAATGTCCAGCGTTATGGGTTGTCTGGCGTCGGGGCGGGTGGGCTGGGATCTTTGAATCCCTTTAATCAGGAGAGAGGTTTGTGAATTGTTTATCTCCACGGAAGGAGCACCATACATCAGTTTGTGGAAAAACTGGATGCCGCTCAAATAACCTTTAATGGACCCGACTTGTAGGCCTTTAATGCTATTAAGGTAGGAGATAAAAGAGGTGATTGAAGGAAGTGAAAAATCAGGGAAAGATAAGTTATAAGAGACATTAATTGTTTTAAAATATCTCCAAGCAGTAACATAGGATTGAAGGGTCCTGGGAGATACTGCTTGGAGGATACCGTCAAGTGATGCTTCGAGCAGTGGTTTTAACGGGTGGGTTACGGGAATATTAGTTCTGAATAGCGAGGAACTGGAGTTGGGAATTGATCCGCCTCTGGAGCCAGCATCCTGAATTTCTGGAACAGAAAACGAGACAGGGAGTCGGCGAAATGAAAGGACGCGAGATGAGTGCATGTTTGTGTTTTTCAGGGTAACTGAAAAATCACCGCAATCCACTTGGTGGTCTGATTCGGTTGCCGGGAGGAGAGACAACGGAGAAGAGAGGTCTATGTCCGTACCTGAGAGGATCTGAGCGCGGATGGATTGAGAAACTGGTGGGGGTTCCATGGCAACTGCATTGAGCGGAACAGGCATCGGAGTGGCTGTGAAAAGAGAATATGGTGATTTAGTTTGTATAATGGAGCTGGGAAGGGTATAATCCGGGGCTGCGATTGTCGGCTGTGCCCTCGTGATTGGATGACCTGTTGTAAAATGAGAAGGAAAGTTAGTTGGAGGATGTGAGGGATGATAGAAAGCAGTGTGAGTTTGTGCTGCAAGCGGAGGCGGGCCCGCGCTTGTTTGAGCTACTGGAGCTGCAGGCCACTGGAAGTGGGCGGGGTTGTAACCTGTTGGGTAGACCTATTGTTGACATTGTTGGGTCTGTGATGTTAGTGGCGATAGCTTCGTGCTAGTGTCTGCAACTGGAGCTGGAGGCCACTGAAAAGGAAAAGGGGTATGTACAGCGGGAGAGTAGAATTGAGTGGCTGTGCGTTGGCCGCTGGGCCAGTATATGGCACTGCGGCGGCGGAAGCAGAGATGGAGGGCTGGGCCTCATCAAAAGTTGGTAGTGGACCTGCTGTGACGAAACCTGAAGTGCGGCCCTGGCTCGCTGAGGGCCTGTTGCTGCGGCGGCTCGAAGGGCGAAGTCCTGTGCGGAGAGACGAGGGTGGTGACTGGGCAGTCGAATTTTGAGCCCTGTGGGCTTTGCTCTGCCTGTGGGTCATTTTAGGTGTTGATTTTAAGGAGACGTATAAATCATACAGCTCCGCTTTATTCATTTTCCTTGAAGCTTGTAGATCAGAGATACCCAACGCTTGCCTCAATCCAGCTATGGTCCATTTCCCGATGGGTGGGATCGTCAGGATGGCCTGGCAGTACGAGGAAGCTGGAGAAGAAGATGGAAGTCTTGCCGGAGGCGGCGAAGACTGGTCATGGCGTCTTGATGAGCGCCGGGCTGATCGGGTCGCTGTGCGGCCGCGAGGAGATGCAGGGGGCTCAGGTGCACCAACCGGCATAGAAGGGATGACCGTGGGACCAACGGAGTGAGAAGTTGCATCCGTGGTGATTTCTTCGTCGGAAGAGGAGCTCGTTGGAGACATGCTGCGAGTAACGAGTAGTTGACCGAAGAGGCGAATCTACTAAATGCTGCAAACTGTCAATGGATCGAGGTAAGACTGCTGAGTCTATTTGTACCCTCTTATCATTGATTGCTGATTGCTGTCCACTCGTGTTAATTATCTGAACGTGCTCCTCCCGAACTTAGTTAATAAAACTTCATTTGAGTGGAGAGTTTTTTTTTTGTTGTTGTTGTTTTGTTTTGTTTTTCCTGGTTCGGTTAAGACACGCCTCATAATCAAAGCCCTATGGAGCTGTTTCAGACTCATATTCCAACAAGAAGTATAATGAAGTCAGGCTACAGTTCAACTTGATGATATACATGTTTCAGGTCTAAGGTGGAGAACATCACTGCACCTCTCAATTCAGATAGAATATCTTCAATCAGAGGAAGTGGGTAGCTGTCTACCACTACGGCTTTGTTAGGCTCCTGCAGATCTACACACATTCGTATACCTCCTGTTTTCTTTTAAGTGACTACTATCGGGGATACACTGCATGAAAAGTGGGATTTTCGTCCCCGTAAACTGTCGGAAATCTCCCTAATTTTCGGCAGTTAACGACAATTTACAGACTGTGAACGTCGCGTTCCACTGTGCCACATATTGACGGAAACGAACCATGACGTATGCATGGAGCGCTCGCGGAGGTGTGAATGGCCCTAATTAGCATATGAATAGCAGCACTGCGCGCGCCTTGCCAGAGAATGGCTTGAATTTCCTCACTCAGTATTGGTTGAAATTCACTACATTTAAACAAGATAATCACTCGTGATTGGTTGGCAGATCTGTTATTATTGGTCAGCTTACATAAAATTATAATAATAATTATTTATTTATATATATTCATATGATATGCTATTATGTTGTATATTCATGTCATTGTTATCCTATGGACTAAACTATTATTACCATCAAGGACATGAATTTATTGAGGAAAGGAACATATGCCAGATACTGTTTATTCAAAGAAATAGCTTTATTAGAACAAACACACAATGTACAAAGCATAGGAGAACATCTTCAAAGCACAGAAAACATGTCCTCCACCCTCTGGAAACATGGGATAACATACATACAGCACTACAGTTATACAAATAAATCAATAATATATTGCATCTTTATTCAAAAATAAATTGCCCTGAATGGCATCAGAATTGGGCACCAGATATATCAAACACAATGTACAGTGGAGGCAGAATTGTGAACAAATAATAAGGATGTAATTTATAGGGATAGTTCAGTTTGAAATTAATTTTTGATATGTTTTAGCTTACCTCAAGGGCATCCAAGATGTAGGTGTCTTTGTTTCCACAATATTTTCAATTTTGATATTTTTAGGTCAAACCGTTCTTGTCTGTCAGTCATATAATGGAGGTCTATGGTCACCACCTCAAAGAGCATGCACAGAGAAGTCCAAATTAAACATGATTTAATGACTCATAAATTAAGTACACATTGATGGCCTAAGACACGAAACGAGCGATTTGTGAGAGAAAACAAACAGTTTATATATATATATATATATATATATATATATATATATATATATATATATACATACACACACTGTTCATTTTCTCACACAAACCGCTCGTTTCGTATCTTAAGCCATCAATGTGTACTTACAGTTACGAGTCATTAAATCATGTTTAATCTGGATTTCTCTGTGCATGCTCTTTTAAGAGATCCCCATAGATTTCCATTATATGACTGACAGACAAGAATGGTTTGACGTAAAAATATAAAAATTGAAACTACTGTGGAAACAAAGACACCTACATCTTGGATGCCCTTGAGGTAAGCTAAAACATATCAAAAATTAATTTTAAAGTGAACTATCCCTTTAAAACTCTTAATTCAAGTCCTGTAGGCTCATCGGGGCGTAGTGAATCCTCCACCTCCAAGTCTTTGCGACGCGTGCTTGAGGTGCTCACACACGTTCACCTTGATGTACATACACCTCAGTGGCTATGGAACCAAATTTCATGATCCCTTCTGCAAAGTTGAAAAAGACCAATGATTTAGATGTATGCAAAGACAATCTGCCCCAAGTCCCCACATTTGTAAGCAAAAATATGTTTCCTTTGCATCCACTACCTGGTTTCCTTCAGGCGATGGCGGATGTCGACCAGTAGTTTCAGGACATTTTTCTGGAACACTGAAATAAACAAACACATTTGGTGAGGTTTGCAATGCTCTAATTAGAATAGCAAAGTTTGCTAGCTCACAAGAGAGAAGGTGTCTATTAAAAGTGTCTTCTCCACTGCTAATAGATCAATACTTACCAGTCTCAGTCACTGCATCTACACCACAAAAAATGTGTTATAAAAGTTATTATCAAATGATGAAACTGAACATATTTATAAGATGATAAATAATAAATCTGCAATATTGTAACAATTAGAGATATATCTATAAAACTTGGTGAACTGCAAAGTACTTTGATGAAAATTGCGGCCTTAATTGTAAAAAAATTCTAAATTACTTGATTTCTTGTTCAAAGTAATGTGTACACTGTGTAACAGGCATCCAGGGTCATATGACCACCACCTGAATAGCAAAATAATCCTAAATGAGCTTAATGTGAACGCAGCCGACAACTCACCGTGCCTGTCATGTGCTGAGATCACTGCGCTGTACTCTTTTATCATGTCTGGACCTGGGCGGGGGACTGGGGGCATCACTACGGGATCGGTCTTCATGGATTTATTAGTTCCATATGGTTATACCTGAAATTAAAATAATTTTGTACTTATAATACGTTTCCTGTTGTGTTAGTATATGTGCACTGGAAGCCTCAGCACACAAACAAATTCCTTATGTGTGCAAGCACACTAGATAATAAAGCTCTTTCTGATTCAGATTCAAAGTAATAGCAGTGATTTGAAGACTGTGTGCCTCGCAACGTGCCGTGACCCATCATGTCTGGACCTGAAGGTGTGCCTCGAACAATCTCTGTGCAGGACCTGATGGTGAATCGAACACTGGACCTAGTAACATTTAAACTTGGCCAAACATTTATGAATATAACATGCCATGTTCCAGTTCTCTTTGGCGTTTTCACCACTGTCTTACTCTCAAAGTCATCCGTAAACACAGACGTTAATACCAAATTAGTTTAGTTTTACTGTTTATTTGACTGGGGCCTGATCAAAAGAAAAGAGGATGAGATCACAACACGTAACGTTACCTTGTTTAGGTGTTTTTTCTCCTATCAGGGAAGGGCACCTCACTCCTTACAGCACCTGAGAGACAAAACAAATGCGTTAACAAACATCACAAACAGATGGAGTTAAAGATTTCACTCCATCACACAACAGCGTTGCAGTTTTACAAACAAGGATAGCCTACACTAGAGCATACAAGCACATTACGAACTTTGAGTTTGTATGATCCTGGCACATATAATTTCTGACGATATTCAGAGTAGCACCCATTGGGAAAAGCCCGTTGAACACCCAATACGAGTTAGTTTGATTACTAGCAAAGAATGGTAGCTACCTAGCAGCCAGATAACAACGTGCAAAATACAATTTAGTGTCAAGAATTAAGAGCAGCAAGCTAACGCAAAACAAAAAAACTGTGCCGTTAAGGTTAACGCCCTTGAACATTCGCGGCAGTAATCACAGCAGGTTTGTGAAGTTTAAGACAATAACGCTAAACTACCAAACACTAGCATAAGTAGACATGGACATAGAATTCACTAGATTGGACGAACTTACCTTCAATTTAGAGGAGATGGGTCCACCAGTGATCATGACGGCGATGTAGGCTGAATATCTGTGCCGTTATTTTCTGCTTGAAAAACCAACCATGTGAAAAACACGCTGAATCACGCCGCTCGCGCCACATGGCTCGCATGTTGCCTCGGCCTATCAGAGTGGCTGGCTTTACAGGTTGGGTTATGATGATATGTTGCCTCAGCCAATCAGAGTGACGTTCACTGGATTTCGACTGTGGTTGAAATCAAAGCTCTTGATAGAGTTGTCCGACCTCGGCTGTCCATGACTTTTCTGTTGCTGTTAGTTCTTTTTAAATTAGGAATAAGGTGGATAGACCTAATATAGGCTACCATGAAATGAAAAATACAAATACAGGGTGTGCATAAATAAATAACTTGATTAGGCTACTTAAAATAAATAAACCAGTAAAACCCCCCCCCCCAAAAAAACCATCTGGTTATAACTGTGAATTAACATCCAAAGAAGTTATCATATAATTTGAAAACTGCTTCTGTAAATATTATGATGAATCCTATAATTTTATTAGGTAAATTTCATATTCATAAGAGTAAAATGAATAATTCTAAACCTTGTTTGAAGTTTTTTTTTTTTTTGGTCTGATTTTCAGTTGTATATTGAGTCTCTCTATCAATAAAAAATGTAGTGATACAATTGTATTTACTAAAGAATATTGAAGCTAATTGAAAAGTGAATCAATGTGTATGCTATTTTCTTTCTTTAAGTAGTACAAATTACTGGTTTCTAGCTTTCTCTTAAATCATTATATTATACATAATAGATAGTCCTTTTCCCCTTTTTATTTTATTTTTTCAATTCTGTCCTATTTTTATTTTTTCTTATTCATTTATAGTGAAATTATTATTTGTTGATTGTTATCTTTTTGGATATCATGCTATTGTTGTAATTGTTGTGCATTATGTGTAATGTAAAAAAAAAAAAAAAAAAAAAAAAAAAACACTGTGAGCCTGATCTATTTCTACCAGAGATTGTCCTAGAATGAGGTATATCTTTCAGAAAAATGTTACCTGGGGTGAAACTCCCCTACCCTTATTTGCATGTGTATAGCTCACAGCATTTTCATTTACATGTCAAAGCCTCCTCTAGATTTAGGAAAAGGGGGGTCATGGGGGGACAACTGGCAAGCAAGGCCTACGTCAATTTCCGGCAATTCACGGCAGTTTTGGGTGTTGCCTGTAAATTGCCGTGTGCAGTCGTAAACCTGAACTTCCACGACAATCTACAGTGCCGCTTACTGACGAAAATCCCACTTTTCATGCAGTGATACCCATTCAGAGGGTCAATTTTCTCAATAATTCCATGTTGTTCTAGGTAGTGGAGCTCTGCGGACACTGCATCACGGACAGACAGTGGTAATCATCTGAGTTTTTGTTGAACTGGTCTTACCTCTGGCCGGGTCTTCACTTTATGGATGAAGCCTTTTGCACAGCCAAAATAACTACACGGTTCAACGGCTGGCTCCACAGCAGCCTGAAGCATCGCACAGGTAGGCTGATTTCATGGCAAGAGCTGACCACCAGATATCTGCAGATTCAATGTTGTTGTCACTAGGTCTATTCCTAGAATGGGTGTTCCTGTTTCAATAATGTAAATCTCTGATGATGCAGTTGCACTCTGATGAGAAACATCCGCCTTCAGACATCCAATGACTGGCAGTTGTTCTTTCGAATATGTTACTAACTGCAGTCTTGGTTTAGTGAGAGGACATTTAAAACTTGTTGTCTTGTAAACACATTCAGGAAGAATGGACACTGCTGAGCCTGTGTCAATAAGTAGGTCAAGAATACAGCTCTGGTTATGTTGTGCCGTTATTTTAACAGTGCATAAGAGCTTTGCCTGTTTTGCTGAATTATTTTGCACACTAAGCACAGTTAATTCTGGCACTGCAAGTTCATTAACTGTCTTTTCTTTGGATTTGCATACTTTAGCAAAATGGCCAGTTTTTGCACAGGATTTACATTTAGCATTTTTGGCAGGACAAGATACATTATTTGCAATGTGACTGGCAGAGCCACGATGATAGCAGTAAGTATGGGTTGATTTTTTTTTCACTGGAGGTGAAACATTTCTTTCGTTGTCCAGCTCGTTTTTTGAATTGAATTTTGAATTTTGAATCAGTAGTTTTGAATTGTACGGCACTCACGGATTTGGGTTCTCCTTCCAACATCGTCTTTGCCTCAGCGCTGGCAGTTTCGATTTGCCTGGCAATGTCCAGGGCTTTATCAAGAGTCAAATTGGATTCAAGCAGTAATCTCTCCCGAATACACCGTACAGATGTCTTCTCAATCAGTCAATCGCGCAACATTTCATTTTTGAATGTACCGAATGCACAAGTAGCCACTAGCTCACGAAGAGCAGCGACATAGTGATCTGTTGACTCATCCACATGTTGAGCTCGTTGTCTGAACCGGTACCTTTCTGCTACCACATTAACTTTGGGTTGAAAGAAAGTTGTCAATGCAGTCACTGTCCCGCTGTATTCATCGTCTTCGAATGGCAAAGTATTGTACAGGTGTTGTCCTTCCGCGCCTAAGCAGCAGATTAGCAAAGCTCTTTTCCGCTTATCCGGAAACTTTTCACCACTGATAGCCAGCAAATAATTGTCAAATTGCCACTCGCAGTGAGAACATGAGCCATCTACAAAAGTTTTCTCAGCGTGTGAATGAACCAAACACCTGAGGCATCAATTGACAGGTATTGACAGGGGGCAATTGACAGGCACCACACTGAAGTGACCAAAAGATAGTGAACACAAAAAAATATTTTTTTTTTACAAAACCGAGCTGAATTTGAAGAACAAAAAAGAGAAGAAACAACCCCATATGATGAAAATAAAGCAAACAGAAAAGAGCAGAGGCTATAACTGATTAAAGATTACTTTGATGGACATCTAGACTCGAAGTGTCTCTGTGAAGATGTTCTAAACAGGTTTATAGCACACCTGATAATAGCCACACAGTACAATACTGACTGAAAATAGCCATACAGTAGCCACATCTCTGACAGATGTCTTTACAGAGAAGGAAAAAGCCTTGCCGTATCACCTTTGATTGAAACACAATGAGGGCGGCCCGCTGTTCAGCGCTGTGAAAATTGCGGATCAGCACCTTCTGATCTCTGCTCGCTGCCCTTGCCATGTTCCACCTTTACTTGATGTGCACTCCTCACCTAAGACCCAGGTGATTGGCCCACTGACAGAAGATATTATAACACACAAGGGAATGACCTCTGGCTGAAGACTTCAGCAGCATTTCATATCCTGTTTGGGCTGTCCTAATCTGCAGGGGGGATGCACAGGAAGGGAAACAAGACTATAAAACACTTTTCCATTCCATTTCGCAAAGATACACCCCGTGAAATAAATTGGCAGCAAAAGGGAAGAATAACATATTCATCTATAGATGGAAGAGCTGGAGCAGGGTATAGGGGTGGGGGCGGGGAGTAAAAGAGCAAGAGAAGAGCGATGCCTGTTGCTGACTGTAAATTGATGCAGGAGCAGTGTGCATTTGTGTATCTGCAGCGACTGATTCTGGTTTCCTCTCATCTGTTGGCACCTGCTTTTTAAAACTCACACTGTCATATCATCTCTTTTCTTTTCTTTTCTTTTTTCTTTTTTTTTTTCTTTTTGACATGAGTAACACTTTTGGTAGAAGCAAGTGTGTGTGTGTTAACAGAATAGACTGTCGATGGTCAAAGTAGCATCTGTTAACTGAATGTCAAGCTACTTAAAACTTTCTATTTTAGAAAAAAAATATTCCCAGTGTGACCTTGAATCTATAAACTAATCAAGAGTACTTTAAACAAAAATCAGCAATGTCTTAACTTTGTGTTATTTTAAGCATGTATAACTTTAATTTATTTTTGTCTATATATGTATTTTTTTTTCTTTGTCTAATTGACTTTCATTGTATGGGCAAAAAAAAATATAACCTTATCTTATAGTCAGAGGATATCTTCTTGTTGTGTTCCACAAAAAAATAAATAAATAAACATAGATAATAACTGATTACAGATTTTTTTACTAAGCGGTGAACGGTCCTTTTACAGTTTTTTTTTTTCAATCGCTAACAAGCGCTTATCCATACTTCAGGTACTTTTTTCTAAACTCTTAACACAGACTCACACCTACAAAACACAATTGGCCAAATGGATAATTGTCTTCTCAAAAACACATTTTGTTAAATATACACTAACTCTTCATTTCAAAATAGAACACATCTTTCTCTGCACACACTAACTTTACCAAACCACTGGAAATTTTACTCAAAATGAAATTATTCTGTCAAAGAATAACACTTGTTTTCACTTCACAAGGTACATGCAGTCAATCAAAGTACACCAGGTTTCAAAATACTGGCTATTGTTGACATTACAAAAACTGCATAGACTTTGATGTTTCAGTTTACGGGTATTTGCATGAAAAATATGTAATCCACCTTTTTTACACTACATTTGTTGGTTGGGAACTGTCCACATGTACAGTAATGTTGACATTCAAAAGCATTCCAGTAAAAAAAACTATTTTTTTTTTCAAATTTTCTTTTTCAAGTCTTTTCACCTCTCACTGCACCTGCATCTCTCACTGCACCTCTCACTGTGTCACACGTGTGGAGCAGGCAGAAGGAACTGGAGGACTCCAGAGTCACAATGAAGATATCTTTAATTTAGAAATACAGGCAGGAAGACGGGGTACAACGCGTAACATTCAACATTGACCGACAAAGACAGAATGAAGGAGGGAGAACTAAATACACAGAGGAATCAGGACTAATGAGGTGCAAACTGGTGAAACAGATGAAACAGGACGCTGAACGGGAGGCTGATGAGGGAGTGAGTTCAGGTGTGGAGACAAGAGGATCCTGGGAAGTGTAGTGCAGGAGATGCAGACAGGATGGTGCAGACACAGACTGTGACGGAACTCCCCCCTCCCGGGAGGCGTGACCTCACGCCGCAGAACAGAGGAAGGAGGGGGGACGAACTGGGGGCTGAGCGGGGCGTGGCCAGGGCGGAACAGGCTGAGGGCGTGGCCAGGGTGGAGCAGGCTGAGGGCGAGGCCAGGGCGGAGCAGGCTGAGGGCGTGGCCAGGGCGGAGCAGGCTGAGGGCGAGACCAGGGGGAGCAGGCTGAGGGCGAGACCAGGGCGGAGCAGGCTGAGGGCGAGACCAGGGCGGAGCAGGCTGAGGGCGAGACCAGGGCGGAGCAGGCTGAGGGCGAGACCAGGGCGGAGCAGGCTGAGGGCGAGACCAGGGCGGAGCAGATGGAGGGAGGACCCCTGGTGGAGCCGATGGAAATGGGGCTGACAACACCAGGGGGCCGACTGACAGGGGCGGAGCAGATGGGAGAGGAGACCAGGGTGAAGCTGAGGGACAGACGACATTGGGTGCTGAGGAGGGACCGAGGGACCATGGGGACACCGCAGGCTCTGGTGACTGAAGTGATGACAGGGGTACAGAGCGACACGGTGAGGCCAGCGGGAGTGAGGGCTGACGGGTGACTGGAGGGAGTGAGGAGTCCAACTGAACCGGAGAGGTGACATAACGGGGCGGAGCCAGAGGAAGGAAGTCCATAGGTGAGGGGAGGATGACGAGGAAGTGAAGGGAATCCGGAGGACAGAGGGAGCCTGGTCGAGCTGGTGGACTGAGGGGCCATGGAGGAGCTGAGGGAGGTAGGAGCCACGGGGGAGCCAATGGGACCGGGGGCCGAGGAAGTGTCCAGATGGAGGAGGTGTGAGGCGAAGGCCGGGGATCCAACGACCCTGCTGGGTCTGGATGGCTATGGGACAGGAGGGCTGATGGGTGAATGGTGGGAGGAGGCGGGAGAGGGAGGCTGAGTGGGATCCTGGTCTCTGGCTGGACGGTCTGGACGGTGTCCGGCTGGACGGTCTGGACGGTCTCCGGCTGGACGGTCTCTGGCTGGACGGTCTCTGGCTGGACGGTCTGGACGGTCTCCGGCTGGACGGTCTCTGGCTGGACGGTCTCCGGCTGGACGGTCTGGACGGTCTCCGGCTGGACGGTCTGGACGGTCTCTGGCTGGACGGTCTGGATGGTCTCTGGCTGGACGGTCTGGACGGTCTCCGGCTGGACGGTCTGGACGGTCTTGGGCTGGACGGTCTCTGGCGCTGGCTGGACGGTCTCTGGCGCTGGCTGGACGGTCTCTGGCGCTGGCTGGACGGTCTGGACGGGGCTGGTCGGAACCAGCGAAGAGGAGAGCTTGGGTTCGGCGGGGCTGGACGGATCCAGCGGAGAGGAGAGCTCGAGCTCGGCGGGACTGGACGGGACCAGCGGAGAGGAGAGCTCGAGCTCGGCGGGGCTGGACGGGACCAGCGGAGAAGGGAGCCCGGGCTCGACGAGGCTGGACGGAACCAGCGGAGAGGAGAGCTCGAACTCGGCGGGGCTGGACGGAACCAGCGGAGAGGAGAGCTCGAGCTTTGGAGTGGTGCTGGTGACTGCCTCCACGGTGAATGGAGATTCACAGCACACCAGCACCCACTCCACACAGGCGGCCAAATTCTCTTCGGGACCGCTCCCTGGGAGGCGTGCCCGGGACCGAATAGTGGGTGAGGCACGCCAACTCCAGAAAATCCCTGGTGTGGGACTCCAGGGAGCAGTCTTCCTGTTCCAGGCAGAGGAGGGCTACCGCTGGAAGGTCCATTCTTTTTTCTTGGGTCGGTCAATCTGTCACACGTGTGGAGCAGGCAGAAGGAACTGGAGGACTCCAGAGTCACAATGAAGATATCTTTAATTTAGAAATACAGGCAGGAAGACGGGGTTCAACGGGTAACATTCAACATTGACCGACAAAGACAGAATGAAGGAGGAAGAACTAAATACACAGAGGAATCAGGACTAATGAGGTGCAAACAGGTGAAACAGATGAAACAGGACGCTGAACGGGAGGCTGATGAGGGAGTGAGTTCAGGTGTGGAGACAAGAGGATCCTGGGAAGTGTAGTGCAGGAGACGCAGACAGGATGATGCAGACTGTGACACACTGCACCTCTCACTGGGCCTGCTCTTCTCCCTGGGCCCCTTGCTCTTACTCTTCCTCTTCCAGACGTTACAGTGTTTGTCTTTTTCTGTTTCCAAAACTTACTCTTTACTGTAAAGGCCTCCTTTTACTGTATAAGTGTCAATGTAATAGAAAAAAAAAAACCCCCTGCCACTGAATCTAAGCCAGACTGAAACCAGCTGTGGTTGGCACAATTTACCCAACATGAATAAGCTGTGGGTCAATTATTCAATTGTTTGCTTATTATCAGCTGAGATATATTGTTTTTGAACTGATATCATTGCAGAAGCAGAGGTTTTTATACTGTATCTAAGGTTTGGAATATTGTTTTTGCTATTTTGGGATGGTGTGTGTTAACATTTCTAAATACTACAAAAACAATCCATAATTTTGTTGGGAGGTATAGCTTGTCTGTTAAGAAAATGTAAGCATTGTGGAAATGTGTTCACTGACTGCATATTGTGTGAATGGTATGCACCGCTCTGGCCACCCGAGGGGTCTGCACCGCCCTGGCCACCCGAGGGGTCTGCACCGCCCTGGCCACCCGAGGGCTCTTCGCCGCCCTGGCTGCCCGAGGGACTATGTGTTTCGCCTTGGCCGCCCGATCTGTTTCGCCCGGACCGCCCAGGACTAAGCGGTCTGTCCCTCCCGTCCCGCCCTGGTCTGTCCTGTCTTTTGTTGCACATGTTTTTTTTGTTATGAATGAAATCAAGCATGAATGAAATCAGTCAATGGAGAGAATGAGCGTACGGTGAGTGACGTCATCGACCAGGAAGCTATAAATATCCCCTGAGCACACAAGCCGCCAGCTTTTGTTACTTCAGCAAGCTCTGTATGTGTGTCTGAAATCTATCGATTGTGTTTGTCTGTTTTAGACAGGAGTTTCTCACTATATATACATATATATTAAAAAAACAATATGAGTGAGCAGTATAGCTATATGTGGCTTGTTTGGGAGTGCAGCATGCCCAGTCGGCTCTCGAGGGAGTCGATTGTGATCATTGCGAGCGCTTTCCTCTGCGAACTCTGCGCTCGTGGCGATCGCTCTTCGAGGAGAGCGGTATGCTGCAAGCTCCCCAAGGCTCGGGTTCCGCTTCTGTTGAGGCAGAGCGGCGGCGCTTGTCTTGGGGTTCGCAGTTGGATCTCACCGGCGATGTTGAGAACGGGCCCCGCCCTATCTCGGCTTTCTCTGGCGGGATCCAGTGCCTCTCACCCGGTGGAAGCGCGTGCTGCAGCGGTTACTTCGGCCCGTGTAGAGGCACATGAAGATGTTTAATTGAGATTATCCAGTTCTGAGGAGCTGGATGTCGAAAGTTTTGCATCAGAGGAAACTAGTTTGTCACAGTATACTGCAAATGAAGAAGGTTTTATGGATGTGTTTTCTCAGGCTGTTGAAAAGCTCAGTATTGAGTGGCCAGCTGATAGACAGGAGTCTAATAGTAAAATTAAACTATATTATAGATTTCTGTCTGCACAACCTCAACCTTCTCGCCGGTGCTTACTGTTCTTCCCAGATCTTCATGCAAGAGGTTTCAAAGACCTGGGTTAAACCGGTTTCAAGCAGAATTTACACAAATCAGTGTAATGCTTACATTGTTGGTGCTAAATCTGCTGGTTATGTGACGATGCCGAAGGTGGAGGAGACGCGCGAGGTATCTCTCTCCTTTCTTATCTCTCTCCAAAGAAATTTATCTTGAAATGATTAATGAGCTAGAACTGCTTTGAGAATTTTTGGCCCTTAAAGTGCGTGTCGCTGGGGCTGCTGAGCGAGGGCAGTCCCAGTCGCCGAGTACCTCAAAAAGAGCGCAGCAGAAACGAAGTGTTGCGTCTCGTGCCCCCGTTCTGCTCCCTGGAGTTCTGGAGAGGGCCGAGGCCCGGGGAATGGAGTCTTCACCCCGAGGAGGTGGAACTCCTTTAGAAACATTTCGGTCATGCCGAGGTAGACCTATTTGCTTCTCGAGACACATCACACTGCGCTGTGGTTCTCTCTTAGCCATCCAGCCCCGATGGGGTTGGATGCGATGGTACATCCGTAGCCGAGGTCACGTCTGTACGCATTTCCTCCGATCGCTCTGCTCCCTGGAGTTCTGGAGAGGGTTCGACAGGACGGGCTCAGTCTTCTGCTAATTGCCCCGTTCTGGCCGGCTCAAGTGTGGTTTGCGGACCTATTGTCTCTCCTCGATGGCTCTCCCCTGGAGATACCGATCAGAAGAGACCTACTCTCTCAGGCGAGTGGGTAGATCCTTCACCGCCGCCCAGAACTATGGAGACTGTGGGCTGGGCCTCTGAGGGGGCCCAGCTCATAGCTTCTGGTCTCTCGACTGAGGTTGTTGAAGACCATCCTTCAATCCAGAGCTCCCTCCACGAGGAAGTTATATGCCGCGAGGTGGAAACTTTTCACCTTTTGGTGTGGAGAGCACCAGCAGGACCCAGTTAACCCAGTTGGTACAGTGCTGGATTTCCTGCAGGACCGTCTCTCCACTTGGTTATCCCACCCCACACTGAAGGTGTACGTGGCGGCCTTAGCTGCTTACCACACCCCTTCAAGTGGAGGTTCCCTAGGTAGACACCTACTGATATCTCGCTTCCATCATGGCACTTTGAGGCTGAGGCCTGCAGTTCGCACGAGGGTACCAGTTTGGGATCTGGCCATCGTCTTAGAAGGTCTCTCCCTAGCTCCTTTCGAGCTTCAGAAGTTTCAGAAAAGTTTCTTACTCTAAAGACTATCCTTCTATCTCATCTCTAAAAAGAATAGGAGATATTCAAGCACTTTCAGTGGCTCCCTCGTGCCTGAAACTTGCTCCTGGTTCGGTTAAGGCCTCTTTCTGTCCGAGACCAGGTTATGTTCCTAAGGTACTAACTATTTCTGTCAGACCTATAGTTCTGCAGGCTTTCCGTCCTCCACCTTTTCTGGCGTCAGACCAGGAGAAACTTAATTTGCTGTGCCCCGTTAGGGCTTTAGATGCTTATGTCCACAGAGCTACCCTGTGGAGAAGATCGGAACAACTGTTTGTCTGTTCTTGGGTCACCTAAGCAAGGGTGTCCTGCATCTAAGCAAAGGATGAGCAAGTTGGTGGTCGAGGCCATCTCGCTTGCTTACGGTTCGGCCCATCAGCCTTCACCTTCGGCTGTAAGGGCTCATTCCACCAGGAGTATGGCTGCCTCTACAGCTCTTCTTTCAGGAGCTTCTCTTCAGGACGTTTGTGATGCGGCAGGCTGGTCCTCACCACTTTCGTCAGGTTTTTTATTCCCCTGACCTTAGCTCTACTCCTGGGGCTCAGTTTCTCTCGTCGGTTTGTGTCTCCTACTGACACACGACAGGGATTTGGTTGTATGGGGATGTGGGTATTGCGTTCCCACTGCGATTACACGCAGCGGTAGGGTATGTACGTATGGTACGTAGGGTACGTATGTAACCCTAGTTCCCCGAAGGGACGGACGCTGCGTGTCCTGCCATACTCCCGGCATCCCCTTGGGTCACTTGCTTTAGTAACTTTAAGCTGGCGGCTTGTGTGCTCAGGGGATATTTATAGCTTCCTGGTCGATGACGTCACTCAACGTAAGCTCATTCTCTCCATTGACTGATTTCATTCATGCTTCAGTCACGCTGAGGGCGTTCGCACTGCGATTACACGTAGCGTCCGTCCCTTCAGGGAACTAGGGTTACATACGTAACCCGGGACGTTCTTCCTATGTGGAGTAGCATATCAAATTAATGGAAGTTTAAACCCTTTAGTTTAAACCTATGGTTTAAACGTGCTCATGAGAAAAACTATTATATAAGTCCGGTGTCATCCCAAGGCGTCATATAGGTGACACTTTTGAAATTGCGTCAACATCCGACATACATGGCACCCTTTAGCATCAATATGAAACGCATATATATTTGGGCCAGAGGGTGCCTCCTAGTGGTCTGACACATAGACTGTAAAAATATGGACAAAGCGTCTGTGATGTCACCCATAGACTTTCTGAAGAACGGGTTTGAGGCTGTTTATGGGGGGTTTTGGCGGCACTATACTGGAAAACATTGGGAAATACAAAATGCAAAAGGTCAGAAAGGATACAGAGGTGGTATGATGTGTTGTGTCAGATCATGGCTGAGACGTCAAATTCACTCGGCGCAGCCCGTTATCAGCTGTCAATCAAAGTTAACCGCCCTTATTTGTCATACATTTTATATCTAAATATGATCTAAACTAACGAGTTAGAACCCCCCTTCCCCCCTTACAGTTGTCAGGGGACCAAACTGTCCATGGGACCAAACTGTAAACATATGAATTTACTTTTACTTAGTTACATTTTGCAGCAATTATTATACTTTCTACTCCACTACATTTCTACAACTCCTGTTACATTTTCATTACATTTTCTGATCAGTTTTTCCCCTGCCAAAATATAATCTGACCGTCCGTTCGTTGCACGTTTGTCTCACCAGTGACGTTTGGTTGCCATTGATATATCAACCCGATCACACTAAATCCGTCTCGTACGCAGTGTGTTTATCGGGCAATTTATTCGCGAAAATTTGTTTTTACGTGCATAGGAAACGCACTTTGTGTAATATACGTTTGGTTAGGATTATGGCAAGCCAAGAGGTTCAGAATAACACCATAAATTAATCGAGTTTACTGCCAAACACAGTTATTAACATATAGTAAGGATAAGCATGATGTGTATATTGCCTAATTGCAAGCTTGTTTCAGAAATGGTGACAACAATTTTTTTCCATCATTATTGAACATCATTATAGGAGTATTAGGTGGAATGAGTTAGAATTAAATGTTTTATTAATCATTAGAAAATAGACATTACGAGAATAAATTGTTATGCAAGTACTTTTAATACTTAAAGTACATTTAAAATCAGGTACTTTTTACTTTTTACTTAGGTATGGTTGTCATTGTGTTACTTCTACTTTTACTAAAGTAAATATTTATCTGGATATTTATACTTTTACTTAAGTACTGAGATTCAGTACTTCCTCCACCACTGGTTATAATGGCGAACACATCAGATGCGTGTCTAACGTTACCTCTGAGTGCAGGTGAAGACACATTTGAGCTCTTCACGGTGAAGCAGGAGGTGGAATACATCGAGAAACAGATCCGTGGTCTGCTGGTGAAGCAAGCCGAGCTGTTTGCTCAACGCTTGAAGCATCACGCGCCGATGCTCACAAATCAGTGGTTAGTAACGTTAACTCTTTGACTCCCACTTCGTCTACTCCGTGTGTTCCTCTGCCCAAGAGATGAAATGAAATGGTCACAGATAATAATTTCGATGTTCTGTGCCTTACTGAAACCTGGCTTAAACCAAATGAGTATTTCGGTCTAAATGAATCTACTCCGCCAGGATACTGTTATAAACATGAGCCTCGTCTGATTGGTCGTGGCGGCGGTGTTGCAACAATCTATAAAGATATTTTGAATATTACTCAGAAAACAGGTCACAGGTTTAATTCATTTGAAGTACTTGTGCTAAATGTTACGCTCTTAGATGTAGGAAGGAAATCGTCTCGGTTACGGATGTAACCCTCGTTCCCTGAGTAGGGAACGGAGACGTTACGTCAGAAGTGACGGAGATTGGGGGTTTCGCATAGAAAGCCAATCCTCTTCGAGTATTTAATCACGAGCCAATGGCATGCAATGCCTTGGGGCTGCGTAAATTTGCATAGCGTACTCCGCCCTACTCCGTGAGTATAAAAGGAGGAAGTGAACGCAACCGCAGTATGTCTTCGCTGAGGAGCCAAGACTGAACTCAGGCGTCTACCCAGCGGTACAGCAGAAGTGGCAGGGAGACGTAACGTCTCTGTTCCCTACTCAGGGAACGAGGGTTACATCCGTAACCGAGACGTTCCCTTTCGTAGTCACTTCGAGTTACGTCAGAAGTGACGGAGATTGGGGGTCAATGCCATCACGCTAACTTACAGCTGTCTTCCAGTGCCCTGCGAAAGTCTAGACCCCTGACCTAGGTATCACCAGGAGATCCTACTTTGACACAGGAATACCAAGGTACACTGGGAAACATATCCCGGAAGGGACATGCTACCAGATGCCTACCGTAGGGAGGACTTACGAATACACATATGGCCGCATAGGGACGCATATGGAGATCACTGGAGCACCAACCGCAGGTGGTTCTCCAGGGGTGGCAGATGGCTTGCCAAGGGAAGACACATGCTCAGAGAGGCTTACAGTGGATAATACACATGAGACAGTTACCATAGGGAACCTTGCACATGGAGGCACCTAGCCGGCAACCAGAGCGACGCAGTGGTGCCCACATCTTGGGTGCTGGAGGACTCAAGGCTTCAAAGGAAGACTACTGAGGAATATCGCACTTATCCAGTCGAGAGTGGAATGGCGAGCAAGCGAAGACACCTAAGCGG